ACGCCCTCCGAGATTGCTAGTCTGGGCGACATATGGCGTTCACCAAGAATGCCTGGATTTCCACGACCTGTGTGATATAATCGCCCCCGCTCGACTACGCGTTGCAAATACAAAGCAGTTACATTGGTGTGAATAACTTCGACGTCGTAATGCGCGCGCGTCCGTTTATCGCGACATCGTTTATTGTGAGTCGTGTGCTTTTGCCACGGAGAGCTCTGAAGCAAAAATTGGCAAGCAATTGTCAATTCTTAAGGCGCTCGAGTTTTATCGATGGTTTTAGATATGCTTTTCATGCTTTTAAATGTTCCGGAATATCTCATAATTTGTATTTATTTTTTCTGATGAGAGACACGTTACGTTTTTATTTTTTAGACTACTTTGCAGTTGAATATATATATTTCGTCCTTTCAAGATAAAATATAAATCAAAATATAAATTATATGATAGTTTATGATTTAGATATGTGTTGTAAAGTTACACGATATTGCCAATCACCATGCTGGCTAAATTAAATGCTTTTATTGCTAATATTGACTTTGGTATCCGCAATAAACGCGATAAATGTTCGCTCGTGGTTATATTTACGCATCACACAATTATTTTCGCATATTGAAAGTAATTAGCTCAAATCGGGTTGCATTTGGCAGCTCTAAACTGCGAATACGCGCGATAATAATGAAACTGAAATGTCAAAGAAGACCCTGCAATTTTATTCGACAATAAATCGGCTCAGTTACCGCGAATTGCTTAATGTATCGTGAAGCTTAACGACAGTAATTTGTACGTGTTTCCAGTTATCAGTTTTTAACAACGCGCGATTCAATTGCGAACCGTGATTCCACCACGTGTCCATGCGGAAAATAAACGCGCGGGAATTATATCGGGTTCCGATCGCGGAGATAAAAGATTGTCGTTATCTCATTGCCCTTACGTGACTCCTAAGGCACGGAAACGATCGCTGAAACGTAAAATCCCGAAGCGGCGCGACGCGAGAGAAACGACACTACTACTCAGAATCGCCCCCTTGAAAGTACCTCGTTTCCTTTGTAAATAGATTAGGTCACTATTGTCCAGGTCCTCGAAGATAATCCTATGCATGCCGTGTCGTGATCCAGCAGTCACAGTCAGAGAATAAATCTCTCTCCACTCTAAATGCTAATGAGCCTCGCGTGAGCGATATTTTTACATCGTTTTGGGGTAAACCGATGAGACGGGATAGCAACTGCAATGCATTATATTCTTCGCTATCATATAAAAGGCGTTTTCCGAGCAAATATTGAGCGACATAAGATAATTCACTCTGGCCAAAAATCATTTTTCTCTCTAAAGTATGACAATGCATATGGTTCAAGCGATGATAATCATGAAATATGAAGCTTAAATAAAGCCCACTCTTTGTTTATATAAGGTCGTAATTTACTGTTGCGACAGATCATCTTTCCGTAATCTATATTAATCATAACGTTTATGAATACGACAATTAATATGGATTACAGAGATATACAGAAAGTTTGACGATTAAATTTGAAATTAAATTTGCATCGATATTATCAATAGCCTTGCCGTTCGGATTCGGCGTTAAACTGTAGGTCCCTGTGCTTGTGTACAACCTGCGTGCGCACCACAAGCACATGACTTTGGGGGAGATCTAGGTCCGACTCGGACTGTTGCGCCATAAAATGAATGAATTATCAATAGTATTTTAAAAATAAAGCGTGAAGACTGATTGGAATTTTGTACAGCTTGCTCTAATTTCTTTCAGGACACAACGGTGTACGCACAATGTCTTCGTGTATATTATTTAATATTGATCCGAGTCTCGCGCTACCGCCGTTCTTGTTTGTCAGAAACGTCGGCGACACGCGGAAACTATGTAAAACTTATTACATCGCATCGTAATTGGCAAGTACACAGGCGTCTCACGCACCGCGCGAAAATACTTAATTGTTTGCAAACTCGTGCAGCGTAACATTTGCATAACGATGTTAAGCTTATTATGTTCGGAGCAAATCATCGGTTTGTCAAAATCGAATCTTAAACCAGTCTGCGCTTTACGCGCGCCGCTATCGTAGTTTCTCGATAGGGATATCGGCATAATCTTGGGAGATTACAAGCCATTCACTACCTACATAATTCTCTGGGATCTTAATCAATCCGCGAGTACGTGACTCAGTGATTAGTTTCAATTTGCTGCACGCAGTATCGGTGAGAATATTAATTCATTACTTATAGAGTGATGATTGTGTATTTGTATGTGCTTTATATATAGAAAAAATTATAGATGTTTCTTCTAAATTTAATATTCAACATTTTCACAAGGTAACCCCAAAAGACGGAGAAAAAAATTCCAATTTAAATTCCAACTTACATTACAATAATAAACAAATGTCAACTGTAATTATCCCTGCTCGGATTATAATTTACTCAAAATCACGCGGTCAAAATCTACATTAAACAATCGTCAAGAATGCAAATAAGAATAAGCGTGGCTCGAAATAATCGCACTCTTGCAAATTACAGACAAATTATGTCGAAGCTCGCAGCCGTAGGAACGATAGCGTTACGGGATGCGATGGCAAATTTGCATCGCACGATATCGCACCGTCCAATGCTTGCCGATAGTGTAGTGCCGAGTCATAGAGAGTGCAATCTGCGATCCGTATCCCTTTCAGCCGCAAACATTAACGCGCAGTCCGCCTTCTGATCCTCGCTCACAGATTGAAGCCGTAAGTGGAATGTCGGCGTAAACTAGAAATAGTTACTGCCACAAAGACTACCAACTAACGCCGCGACGACGGCCACTCCGACGGCAACATACCTTCCGCAAAGTTTCGCCATAACATTTGCACCGACCACACTAATGCGCTTAATTGTTACTGCATGCAGATAGGACGGGTATCAGATTTCTTGGGAAAGTCAGTGGAGTATCATGTTTGTGTATCGAAACCGTGGTGGTTGTTTTAAAATAGGAAGTCACGTATTTTCAGTATGATTAAAAGAAAATCTTTTTGAAAAACACGCAAATCCTACAGGAAACTGAATAATTAAAAATTCACTTAATGGAACACTAATTGATTAAATTTTTCATGCAGAAATCTCTTGATTTTGTTTGTTGAGAAATCCAAAAATCCGCGTTCTACTTCATTGCGTCTATTACAGAGAGGGAAAATATATGTCGGAAAACTGTTTTACGCGAGAGCTAGCTGAAGGTTTTGATACGGGATTAAAAGGCGTTTAACGAGGTCATCATCGTGCGGCACGCCCAAGTTGCAAACACCTGCGAAGCGTGCTTCACCTTCTCGGCGGGCCGTACACAACCATTTGCAACTGCATGAAAATTGCAAGATACGGCGAAAATTGCTCCGTGCCCTCGCTCGAACGCCTTCACCCACATCTCGGTATTTACGAGTTTACGGCTTGTGCACTGCGCCGTGAACGCGAATCCAGGACGGCTGGATCTCGAGACCCTCCTAAGACATCGATGATCGATACGATACTAAGGGAGAGACATGCTTTTTTAACACGCTACTTTCCTCGAAGTATTCAAGCGAGAAACGTTCCGCATTTTACACGAAGAACATCTTCAAATGTCCAACTGTAGGAAAATCCAGTGAAAACAACAAGGAAATAAAGTTGAATAAAACGCGGATAATCGATGAGAAAGAATTTGGTATTCAGAAAATTACGGAGAAAAACTTTTAAGTCGCTGGCTTTGCGAGAGTTTGCGATTTTCCAGCAATATAAATTGCGAATACGGTATATAAGAAAAAAAAAGACAATCCGCTTCATTATTCAAAAGGTAAAATATGCGTGTATTCATCGCGATTGTAGCAGCAAAAAGAACTTTACTATAATAATACTTTATCCGCTGTTATGTATAAGCAAGCTAAAAAACAATAACAAGCAAGATTCCCTATATGATTTACTAGTAATTATATCAATAATAAAATTACATTTTCCGAAAAAATTAACAGTTGATCTGCCATAAATTTACAGAATTGCCTAAGTATTATCACTTTTTCATGTAAATGAGATTTAATTATAATTATAATTTTGATGTAACTTCACTAATTGATAATAATACTGTATTAATATTCAGAATAGAATTTAAGTTTAAACTTTGTGTAATACAGAGTTTAAAAAATTTCTGATAATTATATAGAGGAAATTGCCAACAATATTTGAATCATAAAAATTTCGACGATACCTTTTACAATAGTAAATATTCATAAATAAAAAATGTAATAAATATACATATATTAATTTAAAAAATGTATCGTAGTGTAATCTTATATTTTTTTTTAGGTGTAATATCACTAGATCGAAATTTATGACATTTTGTAAAAACTACTGTCATATTTTACAACCGCGCAACAATGGGATTATATTGAAATATATAATAATAAAAATCGAATATCTCAATCTGAAGATTTTGAAAGTAAAAATTACCAATACATATAAATGACCGATCGGTGTAGATTAAGTGCAACTGCCAGACCTGTCAAAATGACAAACCACTGAAAAAGCGTTACGTTCACCAAAAATTGCGATGCCCGAAGTATTTCCGAGCCAAGCCAATAAATTTTATTTCACCGTCGATACCATACCGTTTTCTAGCGCCGGTGTTAAATATCGCGGACAGCCATTGGCAAGCTCGAGACAGGCAATAACAGCAGTTTGTAGCCCTACACGCGCTTTTACCCAGCTAACAACCTTAATAACCTTGCGGCACAAGAATAGCGGGCGCGTGGCGACGGCCAGCGCCGCGCGACACAAAAGTCATCGATGACAATGTCCGCGGCAGTAATGGAAATGCCATCGCGCGAACGCCAACCGTCCTCACAATCAACCAGCCTGAACCAGCCGACGACGCGACGGTGGGACTATGACGGCGCGCACAACGGGTGGCACGCGGGTGGGTGAAAGCCGGCATGGTTGGGTATCGCAGCGGGGGGTGGTGGTAAGAGTTGACGTCGGTGGTCGGGGGCTGATATCTAGCTAAGCGCTGGCGCAGTTGGGTCGCGGTCTCCACCACGGCAGCATTTCGCCCACCGGTCTCTTTACGCACCTATCTCTCCCTCTCGCTCCCTACCCCCTTATCGTCCCCTGTCTACCCCGCGACCTCTTCGCATGACCTCTCGTTGTACCCCTCCTCCTCCCACCTATCGCCCCCTTTCGCGAACGGGGTGCATATACGACACCGGGTGCATAACACCCTCTGCGTCCCTCCGCTGTCTGTGAGTGAAGGTGTTATTCGCGGCGCGGTGTGGCGCGGTGTAACGAGCCGCGTTAGTGTTAGTGCGGCATGATGAATGAACGGCATTTTAGAAGGACGGAAGTGGCGCGCGGTCCCACCTAGCTCTTTCGCAACGATCGTACGTCACCCACCGGCGACACAGGATCCCCGCGAAGATGCACCTCGCGCGAGAGCTGCAGTCGCCCACGTGGAAGTACGGACCAGCTGCGCTGGAAGGATTTAGTGACGCCCCGGTTCTCTCTCCGTGATTGCGCGGGTCTTGTCGCTCGGTCGTTCATTCATGACAGGTGATAAGGGCGAAAAGGTGTGTGGCCCGCTGCACGTGAAGACAGATTTGTGAAACGTTTCCTCTCGGTAACGGACAGTGCATTCGATGGTACAATGACGAACAAGTATGTCGAGCGATTTTGAAAATTAGACGCGAAAACGTGGTCGTATATAAATTAAATTAACGTGAGACCGGTCGTTAAATTGCGATATATTAATCATGAGTATTTTCTGTGTTTTACTGGACGCACGCATGAATTCTCCACGCGCAGGAAGAACGAAAACATGAATCGTCAAAAAAGCGAACACGTGACCGCTTCGGCGTAGTCGATGTCTCATGAATATTTCGTGGGATATATGCTGCGCGTACATATAAATCGCTATTTTACAAGTCCCATTCAACATTTTCCGTGAAGCGTATTTTTGCTCCCAAATAATTGATCGTCCTTCGAGAGAATCCTTCGCATGTGTGTGAGTTTTTGAAATTTATTAATATCATACATTTCATGCAATATATAAGCAATTACAAGTTTGAAAGCAAAATGTTACACAGTTTGAATAAATATCTTTATTCTTCACCATGAAATACGTTCATATTAAAATCCAATATTCAGCTTCTGATTATCTGCGATGTAGCGTTAAAAATAAAAAAGTATATATTTAATATTATTATCAATATCAATGCATATAATCGTATTGTCATATTGTGATTAAAACGATCAATTCTTCAATGCTTGGCAATATGGCTCAATAGTTTTCGATTAAACTATATATCCATCCTCATTGTAGCAAGATCAGTTTATAGCAGAATCTACCTCGCACGCGCGGATATACGGACGCATTCACTGAAATCCAATGACAAGTGAAATTAATATCCCTAGCCGTGTTGTGTGCATACCGAATTAGTTCTGTCGATTATGATTTGCCGGCCAGTAACACCCGATCGGGTAATGCGTGAATGCAATTGAAACCGTATCACGTTCGTTTTCAATCGACCATTCCGCAGCGCGTCACTTAATGTAAACTTACCCGAGGACCGGTAACATATGTCGCGCATTTGGTCCACATTTGTTGATCTCGCTGCTCGCGTGGTTCACACGAGAGCAAATAACACGTACACTTTTTTAACAGCGAATAGAAACGACATCACGCGCAACGCGATTAAACACTCTTGCCCCTCTTTTTGCTCCGTCAGTGCTTGAAATCATAATCGCGGCAGAAGTAATTACTTTCCTGAATAATTGCGTACACACACGCGCGCGTGCGCGCGCTCGTTCATGATGGTCCGTTGCATAATTCGGGAAAATATTAAGTGTACCATTGTATGTGATATGAGATTAACTTGATTATAGCGATGATGGTTTTCTCGTATTAATTTCTACGCTCGTGCTAGTCATATAATATTTAAAAAGATCTCTTTTACATACATGGGTTTAATTACTCTACTGAGGAAATGTAAAATATATACGATTTTTATTTTATCCTCAATTTCACGATTTATCGTTATCGATATTTCTGCGAGAACTCGAGAAAAGAGCAGACACTTTATTCGACCTATATAAGCATAATATCTTCTTCTTGGTTTGCTAAATATACAAAAGTGCAAGATATTATCAATGACTGATGGAAATAACGCGGCCAAGTGTTGCAACTGTCAGTGAGCGAAGTGAATTCCTTTTTATTGCCAACCAGGAAAACACGTCGCCCTCGGCCGATTGCTGGCAGCTTTGAAGAAGCGGTTGACGTGAAATGTATCAGAAACAATGGACTGTGAAAGCACTAGAAATGGATTTACAACATAGCGGTAATGGGACCGGTCAATGCAAACCTTTCAAAATGATCTACATTTTCACCCTCTTCATGCTGCTGCACGGTAAGGATATTATCGAATACTCAAACGAAAAACTATTTATGTTATTAATTAAATTCTTTCCTTGAGAAATCAGATAAGCATCGATAAAATAAAATAAAATTATATATTAATACTAAACTTTTACTACATCCAATTATGATATCTTGCCGCAACAGAAAAATCTATTCTGAATAAATAATCTCTCTGACGTAACATATATCACGCAGATGCACCATTATATATAATTTCAATAAAAATTCTGTCTGTCAAAGAGTAAATAGGTATATGCGCGTGTTATGTGTACAAAAAAAATACGGATCGTAAAAAAATCAAAGTGCGAGGTAAGAGTTGAAAGGTAACGTGGTGCATATGTATTCATCCATCGACAAACGACGGTCGTACATACGAATCTGCGGAGTATGTACGCAAAGAATGACCTGGCGAATGTTGTTGCGGCGGGATACAACAACGTCGGGTGAAATGTGCACAGCGCTTTAAAAAGTGTACATTCGACAGGCATGCTCGTTCGCGTGGAGTAGCTTTTACGATGCGGCGCCGCGCACGATTCCGCCCGCGACCATTACCGGAATTGCCATGAGCATATTTTTCCATTCGATAAACACCGCTGGGCAAACACAGCGAACGTTGTTGCGGTACTGCGATAACACTGGGAAAAATTTTTGTACGTTAAGGTGATGCGCGAGATCGGATCGATGCATATGTACGTTCTACCCAGTACCTATCATAAATTTTCCGCTCGACGTTTTGTATTTATTCAAAACATGGTGATTTGTAATAACAAACCGGATGTCCGATAGCCGATAGCGGACAAGTTTACAGGGTATTCAATATTTTGATTTATATAAATTCGACTAATCTAATTAGATATTAGGTTAATAATAGTTAATTATTAATTATATGCAATATTCTCAATAAGCAGTTTTTCATACGAATTTGCAAACTACTGATGTGTTCCATTATTATTGATACAATTCATTGCTATTACATGTACTAATTACATCAAATATTTCATAAATGCTTCGAAGATTATACGACACGATGTGTATGAAACCGTGAATTTTACGAGCGCGACTTCACGAATTGAGAAAAATACTGCATCGTCATATCTCGCGAAAAAGAGTGAAGATCTTGCGCCGCGAGCGCAAGATCTTCAAACCCAGCTTTAAGGTGCAAGCTGTGTTATTTAGTCGTAAGCCATAAACACGGATGCAGCGGTGTCGTCGACGTAATATCATGCCGGAGACAACCTGTTCGAAAGGACGCCTTTACAACCCGCGCTCTCCGGTCTGACTGTCATCAGACCGCAACTACTCGCATCACAGCATGGTTTCTCTCCGAGTCCCATAAAGTCTCGCGCAACTGATTTTACTTATATACTATAAGGCGCATCATTTGCAGCCAAGCTACTTTTATTAAAACGAATCTGGAAAGTCGTTTAAATCACAATTGAGTGCAGTTAAGCTCGTTTCGATTGCATTCGATTTCATTATCGCGTACAGCGCAGAGAATTATCGTGGTGCATTATTTGCTTTTTAGTAGGCTATCAACTGCATCATAAATGCAGAGAAGCATTTATGATGCAGTTGATAGCATTTAGAAACTAAGATAAAGTCTCAGAAACAATTTCACTATATTCATATTAATATACAGCTGGAGAATTATTGTTATTCTGATTTTACATATTTTTTCTTCGCTAATGAATATTAATTTAATAACGTGCAAGGAATAATGTTGCGGAAATAGTTATATAATAATTGCAATCTTCTTGCACAGGTATTATACGTAATGTATTTGTGTATATTTCGAAGTTGTAAGCCTTCTCTGTAAAACGGATTGTAACGTTTCTCATTAAATAATACACCGGCGTATTACATCCATCACTCCGATTGCCACTATCCACATCTCCCGCAACATTCTTTTGCGTTTTGTTCGCGTTTATACGCTTTATCATGCATCATCTACTATAACATTATACTTTGCGTAGCCTGACACGTATATTCGCTCCGCAGATATGACACGAGGGTGCAATAATGTGACGTTCATAACACCACATCCTTATTTTATGCAAATAAAGTGACGTTTTATAGGCAGCCAAAAAGGAATCTAAATATTCCTACAGATAAATTGACTCTTTTAACTTGTATCGTTTTTATAAAATGAACATACACGTCTTTAATATTTATCTTCCATTTTGCAGATCTAGTTTTCTCTATATAACATTTCAAAAATTTAATCATTGTAAAAAAAATTAGCTCTTATCACGTAGCGCAACATCAAATCCAATTCATAAATTCTCGAGATGTAATCGTACGTACCGTATTGTAATATTGTCATAAGCTACGATATAAGAAGTAATGCCTACAAAAGAGGATATATGTGTTACCGAGTGGCTCAGTCAACGTATCGGTCCTATCGATTCCTTGATACGCCTTGCACCCGCAATTTTCAATCAGCCCGGCTGAATGATCGCGGCTGAGTAACGTATAGCTACCGCACGTATCCATTAGGAAATTGAAAAACGTAGACGTTCCACATCATAGTCCGATGGCACGCGTCTCGAAATGAGAAAAAGGACCGACGCGACGCGACGGAGCAAATTGACGTGCACGCGAACGTACACACGCACGCATGCGTGAGTCGCGTGTACAATGCTATACACCATGAAAATAGTTCATATATTGTATTGAGAATATTTTCTACATCAAATGGCAATTTTCTGACTGTTGCGTCGATTTTCGAAAGCGTCGGTATCTCCCTCTGTTATTTCCGATTCCATAAATCGATTCCCGACGCATCTAGAATGATAAATTCTCTTTCAAGACTGATTGTGAGATGATTCACGTTCCGACTTGGCTAGGAGATTTGCGTCTATCGCGTCATCGCATCGTTACGGGCGTTAATTACGATCGGAGATGCTCCTTCCGAGGAGCTGACTCGGCTACCGCTTAATACGATTAGCCCATAATTTATACATGAGACCGCGTTTAAGTATGCGGGACATAAATTGTAAAATTCGATACCTCGCGACCCCTCACGTTTTACTCGGGGATTGATATTTTATTCAAACGATGTCGCTTAAGATCGACAGCCGCCTCGCTTCGTCGTGGCCCGTAATTTTGTATTCGGCTTCAATATTTGCGTCGCAGGATTAAGTTTAGCTAACGACGCGGCATTTCCGTCACTGTGTATAAAATGCTCGCTCGAACAAGTTTGCAACGTTCCGATTTCTCTTTGATACGAGTTTAGAAACGCTATACGCGACGCGACACACAGATACACGGGCTTGAGCTTACTCCACGAGACACGCGGTTACGTTCAAACGCGTCTAACCGATTTGGAATTGCATACATGCATTCGCGAATAAATGTTATCCGTAATGGCATCGAAATTGGAGGGTTGATAAGCATCACGTGCTATGTTTAGGAGTGTCAATAGCATGAAAGAAAATAGAGAAAAGTATAGATTGGCTCATGGCTTGAATTTCAGCCGGGTAAATATATCAAAACTTCTTCTACAACGACGCGACATTTTCTATCACGTAGAAATAATAGAGCAATAAAAAATAATCGTTACAATCTCTAAATAAGTATCCATCAAGGAAGAAACTTCTACTTGAAACACCTGTGCTCGAGTATCCTATTGAAGATAAATCAACATTAACTGCCAATTGAATCGTGCCTCTTACAAGAAGCGGCTATAACTTTATATTGTCTAGTAATTTCTAAGTTAATATTGGATTAACTATATATCATAAAGTTAATCTCGAGTTTCCAACTAGCAAATCGACTTCGAGTGCACAGTATTGACATTTTAATAACTGGCGTGACTAACATTTCTATAGTAATAATCTAACAAATAAAGTTTAATAAATTTATAAAGAAATATATAAATAAATGTACGTATATAAGTCTGTCTAGAATTATCATTATTAATAATCCAATATTAACAATCCTATTTTCCACAGCTCGCAAAGAGATTATCACTCATCGATCAGCCATCGTTATCATTGATCCTAAAAAAAAGTCATTACTCTAAGAGATTATCGGACATCGTCGCCCTTATCGCAAAAGAACGAAATCCCCGGGATTCGTTGGCCGACGCCACAACCGCTCAATGTGCTTTTTTTTTGCCTCTCCCGAAATCTCGATCCGATCGGTAGTTCATTTCGAAGTAACGCCTTCGATAAGATTCTTACAAGTAGGTGCTCCGGTAAGAAAGGAGCAGCGGAAAGAGAAGGAAAGAAGAAAACTTTCGCTGACGGTATTGGTATTCAGAAATGCAAACTTTTATCCGCGAGGTATTCGTGCGAAGTCCGCGAGTATTCGGTATACGTTTCGATAACTCGTTCGGTTGCTACACACCGAACAGCTGGGATATCGCGATTTTACAACCGATACAAACAGTAGGAATCTAACTTGGCGATTAATGGCGAATAAACTCGAGGGAAAACTCGCCGCATTGTATGCTAAACGAGTCGGGCGGACAAAGAGCGCTTTTTCCTATGCTATTAAGTTTTCTAAGTGTTCCCGCAAAGCACCCCATTACAAAGCGTTGGAAGACGAATTTTCTCCCGAGATACTTAATTAATTAGGTACGCCACCTTAAATGCGATGCCGTAATTTAGCTCGTGTACGATCTCGCCGACCCACTTTCATCGACAAACCGCAATGTTGTCCATTAAAAATTCGCTGTTCGACTTTTAATTCAAGCACAAGCACGTGTACGTATAAATTTCCTAAATAAAGAAGAGTTTACGAGATTTTCCTAAATAAAGAAGACTTTACGAGATTGGAATCAAGATTTATATTACTTTAACAATAAATTCTATTGTTTATGAAATCGGAGCGGCCACACAATGCGAATAAAAGAATTATAAATTTTCGCGTTAATAAGATTTTTGCGGCATTGCGCAAAGGGACGAGACTGCTAGGAAGACGGATTATGCTTTCAGGTGCCTAATTAATTGGTGCCGCTCGTTAATTAAATGTACCAACTTGGTT